TCAGTTCATTTCGATTAGAAAGTCCTGCCTGGTTAAGAACCACTCTTAATTGTTTTAACTTACCTCGATCTCCCTCTCTGGCTGTTTTCTTTTACCCTCGGGAAGCGAATCAGTTCCCGCTTTGCGCTTTCTAGAGTTTTGGTCCGATTTCCGAATCGGATTTTCATTCATGTTTCTGTTTTGACGTGACCTCGCCTTCTTTGGGAGGCGTGAAGTTCTCTTAGGCATACTCGATCAGAGTCAGTGAGTCAACAAGCTCAACCTCGATTGCGATCAGTTGTGTCTGTAAACCTTCTCTGTGCTCACGGCAAGCTTGTCAGTACACAACTGTCAGTCTCTATGAAGAATTTCCAAACTCTAGCCTTTTGTCCTTTGTGACGTGTTTTGATGTGTCGCGCGCGCTTAAAAATATTTAAGTGCGCGTGCTAAATACGGTTATATTTAAAGCTTTCGCCCAAGATCTTAAACATTAGTAAAATTTTGTGGCATAAAGAAATATAAAAAATAAAATAAGGAACTATACGGTAAATTGAAAAAAGGTTTCATCTGAAACCTCGATCTTTGCACAAATTTATAAGCTTGATAGAATCTTAAACTCTTCCCATTTTGAATATAATATCAATTTTAGAAAAATGGGCCTATTTCGACTACATATAAACAAAGCAGGTTCATTCATGTAGCTGAAAAGAAGTTCGCGACGTTATTCTTTCTGATGTCCTTTTCGATGGCTAGTGGATATTGTTGAAAGGACAGGAGTCACCTTTTTATAGCCAGTTTCCGTATCAATTTCAATAATGCAAAATTCACCCTTTTCGATTCTGGCCACTAAACGTGCTCCCCCTTAGGGAAGAGAACGATAACGAGTGCAGCGCGAGAATAGGCCCAAGTTGCTGTTTAAAGCATCTATCCGATCACGTGGTCAGTTAAATACTTATAGGCTTACAATGTGTTTTTTAGGATGTCCTGTTGAAATTTCACTCGAAACTTATCTGTAAAAGATAAACGGGTTGCGACACGATGATCAAATGGAAGATCTTTCATAATAACTATTGTGAATTTCGTATCGTAGACTCTTCAAATATTAATCCTAAGCCATCGAAAACCCGAAGTAGTTTCAATAATAACTGTCAAATTATTTGAAGCATTATAAAAACATGTTGCTTCACATACCGCTATTGAAATCACTGCAAGACAAAGGAAGCGAAAAGGAGAAACAACGTGACTTATCAGTTTTTATAACATAACTAAGACATAAAGCGCACTCTGATTGGTCAAAAAAAAATTTTATATTTGCCAGTAGAACAATAGAAAACTGTAACATCTTGTTATTTTTTAGCGCCACATGAGGTACATTCCCAGATTTTAATCTGTTGAAGGCCTGTGGTCTGGAGGAAACGAAGAAGACACTTTGAACAGAAAAACAATGACAAAGATTTTATTTTCTAACATTATCAAATTTAACATAAAAATGCAGTTTAACTAATGGCTGCTCTAACTGTTTTAAGCCTAAGTAGTTTTCACTTTGGGGTTAGTGTGAAAGACCTTCAGAAATTTTTGAGTGGAATTTCCCAGACTGCTCTCTAAAAGTGAAAAGTTGGCATGTTTTTGTGTCAAGAAAATCCTATTAATAATAATAACAATTAACAATAATAATTAATAATCAATAACTAATAATTAACTGAATGTCCATTTTGATATTTATTGAAAATTCTATTTACATTAGAAAGCTGAGGCAATTGAAACAAATCTGGTTGAAGGCAAATAGTGAACTGCAAGTAACCATGGTAGCTGGACGATGTTTGAACCAGTGCTATAGGTTGAAGTTGTTGTCTTTCTATATATCACTTTTGTTGTGATGCACCCTAATAATTTTGTTAAAGAATTCTAAGTTAAGTTCTCACAATAAAAATAAATTTTACCGGTGAAAATATTACAACTGACCTTTATTTTGCCTAAAAAACTTCTTGGCCCAGCTTTATAGAGAGAGGGGACATGGCTATCCAACAGATAAATCACTATCCAGCAGACAAGTGATTGTGAAACATACTCTGTTGTCCACCGGCTAGAGATTTGTCCAATTAATGTTATCCAACCTTTGAACAACCATGGCCTGGAAAATATTTAAACTTCTCTCTAGGTATGCAAACTTTAAAAACTTAAAAACTCAAACCTATGCAAATCTGAAAGCTACAAAACCCACACTAGCTTCCTGTTCAACAAAACCTTCACTAGCAAGATTGCTAGTAAGAATTGGTATAACAAGAATAATAGTGGCAACTGGAACTACAGGAAGTAAAAGTCACGTAGTGAAAAGTTGAGAGTGACAATGAACAAGTGATTATTTATTCTAGAACAAAAAGGTTGCAAATCTTCACTTATCACTTAACCAGGTTTTGTCTATTTAATGCCAAGATGAGTTTGCAGAAAGGTTTAAAATGTTCTCTTTGTGGAAATTACTGTGGTCCACTGTGCATTACTTTCCTGTAAATCTCACGATAAAAGAGTAAGTGACACAAAAAGTATTCAAAACCTCGCTGATTGATCATGGTTAGGTGGAAATAGAGTAGAAACTTTCAAAAGTCAAGAAGACTCTCAAATGATAATATTATCAAACTAAAAATAAATAACAAGTTGCCAAACTCTCTCCAAACACTGAATTTCAATAAGGCACTACTAAATATCAGTGCTGACTATTGCAAAGGCAGTAGAGCATATAATCTATTATTGACATACAGATTAAAAAGTTAAAAATTATGTGGCTGACATACACTCAAAAGTTAGCAAAGACTGCATGACCAGTCCAGGCTGCCTCTCTTTTTCACTGTAAAAAAAAATCAGAAGAATGCACATCACTGAGGTGTGATTGAAAAAATTTGATGAAGGTTACATCAGCATGCGATGACTCAGAAGTTTTAAGATAAAGAAATAGAGAATAATACATGGGCGCGCGTAGATATGGAATTTCTCTTCGAGTGTTTAACTCGATAGCTCACGAGTGAGATGTCGAATTGAACACGAGAAGAGAAATTCCATATCTGCAAGCAACTATGTATTATTTTGTTTATCATATAAACACAATAGCCCTTTACAGACAAGAAAAGCCGACTTCATTGATGAATGAAATAAATGAATCGATAATCCCCAAGTAACAATCGTAGAGTGCGTTGGCGCTAACTCTTAAGATGGAAAAATGCGTTGAATCATGAGTACAAAAACAACGATGGTCGTAATTTTCAATTTACAAAATTCTCATTTATCGACTTTGTCCTTACCGACAGAAGAAGTCTTTCAGGTGAACAGCCAAAATCGGCCATTGGCAAATCTTCCAGTTGTCGATTCTCATTCTCGTTAAGCGTATCTGGGGTTTTTTCGAGGAACTACAGCATCATCAACAGTTATTACACATATCGAATTAGGCGCCCGCTTAGAGAACACAGAAACTACATACTACCTTCTGCGTTCTTTGAAGATTTCGACAAAATATTTATCTCGATAAGGTGTGTAAGAGACATACCTCACTATTCCTGCTTATGTCAAATTCTTGAAGGTTTGCTAAATTTGTGACCTCCGGAGGCAAGCGCGCGACTTCGTTGTCGCTCAAACCCAATCTACGCAGATCATAAAGCGAAAGAACGGCTGCAGAGAAGAAAAAGGGCATGCTCTAAATGCCTTTACTATTCCAATCGATTTCGAGATGCTACCTTATTACCCCCGGAATATATTTGGTTTGAGTAGCATCTACAAACAGCTCTTCCAGAGATCTATCATACTGGTAAACTTTTCTAGGTACGAAGGTAAGGCTACAGTGGCTGAACTAAAGAAAATCTACCAAGCGGTTACAACGCCACGGAGGACAACAGAACATTTCCGAGCCAAGATCAATGAGAAGGTGCCACCAGACCTAACGGATATTTCTTAACATTTAGCGAAGAACACTGCCAGACTTCACACCTGCGGTTTCTCTCGCCCCCATAATGCATCATTACCCGAGTTTGCTGTAGAGGACTGTGGGAAATCATAGACCGAGCTTGATGAGGCGTGATTTGTTTGCCAGAACCGATTGATTACTAAAAAATGGACCACGGTCCATAAATTTTTAGCCTTCTAAATGACTGAGTGGAGCCAAATATAACCTAGCTCCGAGAGATTTGGTCAACCGATTCGTCTGCGAAGTGAGAATTTAAATATGCCAAATGCGCAACATATGTTTAACTGGCTGCGTTTCTCTGAGTCTCCTCGAGCACATAGTCCAGAGTTGAAGGAGAATAGTTGCGGAAATGATACTGAGACTCTGGGAAGCGAGACTTGGACGAGAATGAGAGTTAAGATAATCCCCATTACACAGGCCTCTTGTTCAGAATGTTGAGGATTGTGATGTCTTTAAAAGTAAAGAGCTGAGAAGGACGCATAGTATGATAAGGTATCTTGCTAACGTCTGTGACTGTGCACTTAAAAATGTCTACTTAGAATTCCATCTGTTTTCTATGAACATAACAGCAACACTTTTAAAAAATAAGCAGTTTAATAATAGGAATTGTTTGCCACATTCACACTTTTATCAGTTTCAGAATAAACATTATTGCTACTTGAATGACCTTGTTTTATGCTTTTATCTATTTTTTTTTAACTCCATGCATCTTAAGGAAATAGAAAAAAACCATTGAACATGGTTTGACGTTTGATGACATGGAGGGTTTTACATATTGATTTTTAACCGCGCTATTTGGAAATGTTCGGGCTGAAGGTTTGTTTCTATTTTAAGAATAAAAACAAAATTGGCATTACTTGTTAATTTTTTTATGTACTTTTTTCGTTTCAAAGTTTCGGCTTTAGCATTTGTTAAGTGCTAACTTGAGAAAGTAGAATTTGTGGTAATGTTTTTGTTTCAGTAGGAATTGGACGTTGATTCTTTTTTCAATTTTTTTTTTTGTTTCTATCGACAAGAAAGTTTCGGCTTCAGTTTCAAGTGTGAAAGTAGAATTTCTTTTTTTTCCCGGTCATCAAGTGGCATGATTATAGTTTGTAGAAAAAAAAATATCTGTGGAACACCCTGTCCATGTGCTTCCACTCTCAGTTCCTTCTTCGTCGTCGTCTCCGTTTGTAGGGTTCACTATGTACTTGTACTTCAGTCTATAGCAAAAAATAGCAAGTAAATATTACCCTCATACTCGTACTCGAGTTATTTATCTGATCATATCTGTAATGCTGCAATATAATTGCTATGAAAATCAGATTAACCTGAACATCGGAAATATTTCAGGAACGTGGTAATGTTGAGGGTAATAAAACAGTCAGGCATGGGAAATCTTAACTGTATACAGCAATACTAATTGATTTTCGGATTTGTGGTTTACATTAATTTCATATTTTTCTCAGATTAACAGTTAAGTCACCCCTATTCCTCATTCCTACAAAACTCTATCCACAAACTCTCAACCTTATAAGGAGCTGCTTGAACCAAATTTGAGTTTTACTCAAGACATACCTCAGGAACAAATGATTCCCCGTTCCACACTCTTTTGATACGATTCCTGCGCCCTCTGTTTCGCTGAGAAGGCTCAACAGTAACCTGAAACCAAGTAGGTTCGTTTCACTGACCTCACAAATCTTCATCAATGAATGTACAAGTGATCGCTTACATGGTTCAGGGAAAAGATAACTGATGTGATAATTTATCCCACATGTCCTTTTTAATTCAAAATGAAAACAATCGATCAAAATTTTAACAAAATACATTAAATTAGGATATGGGTATACCTCCACGAACAAGGAGCACTAAGTCTACTTCGCTCAAAAGGTATCATGAAGATATTCCATGAATTTCCTTACTTTACTCGTTTCACAACAAAACCAGATGAAACAGAAACTAAGGAAATTGCTAACTGGGTGTCCATCAAAATGCATTAAGGCTTTGTTAACCTGAGTTTGGATGGTTATATTTTTTGCTGTGGCACCAAGGAGCGCGTGATAAGCGTTTCTGAGGCAGAAATGAGCGTATTCCAAAGCTTCTGGACTTTGGGGATCTGCTCCGATTTCCACTTTAACTCTCGGCTCTAAATTAAAAAAAAAAATGGTAGGAACATTAAGAATACATAGCCATAATAACACTGAATCACATCGATAGATCCTACAAATGTTTACAAAACATCCGGCGTGGATATGATATTATCGATGTAATTTAAATAAGTCAACACTACGAACCAATCCTGGACACCTCGGTCAACGATGAATACAAAACTGAACATGCTCCGTTGAGATCAGTCAAAAACTTCTTCTCTCTCACCTTCAGCTTGTGGAGACACAACTTGAGGTTCTTTTGTCTCCATGACTAAACATCGAGATTTTTGTAATGGCTCTTCAGACTCTCTCTCAGATGTATCTGGACTTTCCGGAGCGCTACGCTTTCGCTTCCTTGTTTTTCCTATCAGTTAAAAAAAGAAGAGTCAACCCCCAAACCAAATGTCAATATTTTAGAATCATAAAAGTATCGATTCGTGGTTGTTGAGAAACGAGTAAAAATGTCAGTCAATAAGAGACTACAAAGAACGTGAGGACAAATATTTTTCCTTTTAAGAGAGGTTAGATGCCTCTTCTATCATACCTTTAGGTTGTTGAGATATATTTTTCCCTGTGGATGTTTCTGGGTCAGTCGGTTCACCCAGATCCTCTGCAGGTGGATGTTCAATGGTCACTTCTGTTCCTGGAGACTTAGCTTGATGTTCCTCTGTCTCAGTGAACAAACATGGGAATTTTGGCAGCGGCTCATCAGATCTTAAATCGGAACATTCAGGACCACTGCGCTCCAGTTTCCTTTTCTTTCCCTTCTCAAGACTTTTATTAAGGGATGGACTCTCGCTTCTCCTTTCGCACCCCTTGGAATTCTTTCTGGCTTCCACCGCACCAGTTCCCAGCGACACTCTTGAGTGACTGAGAGAGTCCCCAGTTGACCCCTGTTCTTTGACTGCAATTGGGGATGCTGATTCAACGGTAACCAAGCCAACAAATCTGGAAGATTTCGTAATGAGTGGATTGGAATCATTCTCCAGGGATACCGCTGTTTGGCAGTCACAAGTTTTCTTTTCTATGGACGTCCCTGCGTTGCAGCTGAAGGATGACATATTGGCAGTATCCAAATCAATCTTTATCGATCCATCCAAAGATGTTGCCGAGGCAACAGGACTCTGTACAGTAAACGATGGAGGGTCTCCTATCTCTAAAAGGCTTTTCTAAGATTGAATAAAAAGCAATGAGTCAACTAAGACAAAGCAAATCCCTTAGTGTGCTACCATTGCACTGGTTGATGGACTCTCTCTCAGAAAACTTACCTCAAACATGGATGATTTAGAATCCGATGGATTTCTAGCAACAACCAAGGATGCTGCTGAGACTTGAGTCTTGTTCTTAACAGGTCCTTCAATCCCATCCAGTACCTCTCCATCGCAACTGGTGTTACTTAAGGAGCATTCAACTGCCTCTGGCTGTCTATTGGTCTCGTTAGTATCAGTGTGTGACGATCCCTGACAAGTGGTTGAAGCACAAACGTGGGATAAACCTGCATTTAAGAGATAAAAAATTGACTTTTGCTGACTCTCTATATGCTGTAAGTTTCAATCCAGAAACAGGGGTTAACCAGTTGGAATTTTGTGGATGGAACATGAATTGTAAGACAGCTATTCAACGCTGCTGTGTGCATGCATGCATGCAGAAACGGAAATAAAGTTTCAGGAAATCTTAAGAAGAACAAACTAGGTAATGCACTGACCTTCGTTAATTTCAGTTGGTAATTTGCTCCAGGAAACAATTTCATCAACCTTTGACACAAACGATCTTCCCTAATACACCAAAGAACAATGAGTTTTTTTAATTGTTAATTCTTTGTCAACCTCACAGAGAGATAAAGTTTTTAGTGTGGTTATTTTTCAATTGCTCTCAATAAATCAAGTGCCAGTCTAAGTAAAAAGTGCTTGTGTGCTTTAAACCCGCACCAGGAAAAAACTTTTCTGCGCAAAAGAAGTCTATTTTCAAATATATTTTGACCGACATCTAAATCTTTAAATGAAAAGTATAGTCAGAGGGTTCTGGTATATTATAAAATATCCATAAAAAAGAGTTCTCCGAGATAGAATAAGAAGAAAACTTTTGAGTCAACTGAGACCAAGAAAATTCTTTAGTACGTCACCATTCCAGTGGTTGCCGGACTCCCTCTCAGGAAGCTCACCTCAAACATGGACAATTTGGGGACGTTGATGAGAGATGTCGATGAGACTAGAGTATTGTTATTCCTGGGACTTTCAATCTTATCTGGCACATCTCCATCACAACTGGTATTGCTCAAGGAGCATCCAACTGCCTCCGGCTTCATATTGTTGCCGTTAGTATCAGAGCGTGGTGAACCCTGATACACGATTGAAGCAAACCTGGGGGATACACCTGTATTTCACAGATTAAACAAATTGACTTCTGTTAGCTCTTCACATGCAACTAGTTTCAATCCATAGACAGAGTATTTTTTTACGATTTTCCATTGTACTCTTTATACTTAATAAATTACAAACATCAGCCATTTAATGCTGATGTGTGCACATTTTACAAAAACGGAAATAAAATTGCAAGAAATCTTAAGATGATTCAGAACAAACTACCGACCTTCAGTTATTTCAGCTGGTGACGTGCTCCAGTACATAATATCACTGGACTTTGACGCCAATGATCCACCCTATTAGATCAAAGGAAAATGAGTTTTTTCTTACAGTTAAGTCCTTCTCACTTAACTTACTTGGAGATAAAGTTTGCAGTGAAATTCTTTTAATAATTGTTCTCAGTACACCAAGCACCAAAAGCTGTTCTAAGTTAAAACACTTTATATGCTACTAAACTGCAACAGCAAAAACTTTTCAGCCCAAAATGGCCAATGGCACTTGAGAGCCACAAAGGTTACGCATAAGTTCTGTGATGTGACATTAACATAATTTCTAAACAAACCATATTGGTGATAGAATTTTTGTTAGAATTTGATTTTGAACACTATTTCAACGGACGTCTAAAAATCTAAATAAAAAGTGTAGTAAAAAAGTAACAAGTACAAGTGATGGTATATCATAAATTAACAATAAAAAAGAGTTTTGTAGGATGGAATAAAAACTATCGAGTCAACTGAGACAAAACAGATCCCTTAGAGTATAGCCAGTGGTTGACGGACTCGTCCTCAGCAAGCTTACCTCGAGTGTGGACATTTGTGTCTCTGATAGATTTGTAGCAACATCCCCGGATGTTATTGAGACTTGAGTCTGCTTCTTGCATTGACTTTCCATCTCATCTGGTACCTCACCGTCACAACTGGTGTTACTTAACATGCATCCAACTGAGTCCGACTGCATAATGGTCTCTAATGGATTTGTAGCAACATCCAGGGATGTTATTGAGACTTGAGTCTTCTTCATACGGGGGCTTTCCGCCTCAGCTGGTACCTCTCCATCACAAATGTTATTACTTAAGGAGCATCCAACTGACTCTAACTGCATATTTGTCTCTGATGGATTTGTAGCCACATCCAGGGATGTCATTGAGACTTGAGTCTGCTTCTTGCAGCGACTTTCCATCTCATCTGGTACCTCTCCACCACAACTGGTATTACTTAAGGAGCATTCACCTGACCCGAACTGCATGTTGGTCTCTGATGGATTTATAGCCACACCCACTGATGTTATTGAGACTTGAGTCTGCTTCTTGCTGGGACTTTCCATCTCATCTGGTACCTCTCCATCACAACTGGTATTACTTAACATGTATCCAGCTGACTCCAACTGCATATTGGTCTCTGATGAATTTGTAGTAACATCCAGAGATGTTACTGAGACTTGAGTCGTCTTGCAGGGACTTTCCATCTCATCTGGTACATCTCCATCACAACTGGTATTAACTAGGGAGCATCCAATTGACTCAAACTGCATATTGGTTTCCGATGGATTTGTAGCAACATCCAGGGATGTTATTGAGACTTGAGTCTGCTTCTTGTAGGGACTTTCCATCTCATCTGGTACCTCTCCATCCCAACTGGTATTACTTAAGATGCATCCAACTGACTCCAACTGCATATTGGTCTCTGATGGATTTGTAGCCATATCCAGGGATGTTACTGAGACTTGAGTCTGCTTCTTACAGGGACTTTCCATCTCATCTGATACCTCTTCATCACAACTGGTATTTGTTAAGATGCATCCAACTGACTCAAACTGCATATTGGACTCTGATGGATTTGTAGCCACACCCAGGGATGTTATTGAGACTTGAGTCTGCTTCTTGCTGGGACTTTCCATCTCATCTGGTACCTCTCCATCACAACTGGTATTACTTAACATGTATCCAGCTGACTCCAACTGCATATTGGTCTCTGATGAATTTTTAGTAATATCCAGGGATGTTACTGAGACTTGAGTCTTCTTGCAGGGACTTTCCATCTCATCTGGTACTTCTCCATCACAACTGGTATTACTCAAGATACATCCAACTGAGTCAAACTGCATATTGGTCTCTGATGGATTTATAGCCACATCCAAGGATGTTATTGAGACTTGAGTCTGCTTTGTGCAGGGACTTTCCATCTCATCTGGTACCCCTCCATTACAACTGGTATTACCTAAGATGTATCCAACTGAGTCAAACTGCATATTGGTCTCTGATAGATTTGAAGCCACATTCAGGGATGTTACTGAGACTTGATTCTGCCTTGTGCAGGGACTTTCCATCTTATCTGGTACTTCTCCATCACAACTGGTATTACTAAAGATGCATCCAACTGACTCTAACTGCAAGTTGGTCTTGGTAACATCAGTGGGTGGAGATCCCTGAGACATAGTTGAAGCACAAATGGGAGATACACCTGTATTGATCAGATCAAAAAATAGATTGAAGTTTGATAGCTTTCCATATATGCTACCAGTTTCAATCCACAAACTGCATTTTAATGCCTCAAAATTTTCTGTTGAAATATCAATTTTCCATGGTTTTCTTTATAATTAATGGATTATAAGTATTATTCATTCAACACTACTGTGTGCATATCTGCAAAAATGGATATAAAGTTTCCAGAAATCTCAAGATTTTTAAGAACAAACTAGGGAAAGTACTGACCTTCTGTTATTTCAGTTGATAACTTGCTGCAGGAGACAATTTCATTGGCCTTTGACACAAATGATCCTTCCTAATACACCAAAGAAAAAGAGATTTTTTTATTGTTAATTCCTTGTCATAAAATTATTATTTATTTCTACTCAAAATCTACTCAAGATGGCCAATGGTACATAAAAGCCACCAAAATAAACAGGAATTAGTTCTGGGATGCGACATTTACAGAAATTCTTAACATGCCAGTAATTGTATATCATAGACTATCCATGGAAAAGAGTTCTCCAAGATGAAAAAAGAAAACAATTGAGTCTACTGAGACAAAGGAAATTGTCTAGTGTGTTATCATTGTAGTGGTTTAAGGACTTTCCCTGAGTAACCTTACCCCAAACATGGACAATCTGGTTTCCGATGGATTTCTAACAACATCCAGATATGTTGCTGAGACTTGAGGCGTCTCCTTGCAGGGACTTTCCATCTCATCCGGTACCTCTCCATCCCAACTGATATTACTTACCAAGCATCCAACTGACTCCATCTGCATATTGGTCTCATTAACATCAGGATGTGGGGATCCCTGATATGTAGTTGAAGGACACTTGGAGGATACACCTGTATGAAACAGATCAGAAAAAATTATGAACTTTTTAATATTGAAGCACACAGGAAAAAACCTTTCAAAAACAGCTTATCTTTCAAATTTTTCCAGCAAAGGATGTTTGTTTGGAGTTTTCCTCCATATTCCCTAACAATCTATTAAAAAAAAACAATGTCTCTCCCTCTGTGACAAAACCTAAATGAGCTATAAACCTAAAAATACTGATGATAGGGTTCCAACCTTGGAAAATACTATCTGAAGAACAACACAAGATATTTTCTTTAGAGAGAACACTAGGGGAAACTTTACGTGTTTGGAACCATTCTGCACAAATAGAAATACTTGATGTATTATATAAATCAGATATTCAACATTGTTGTGTGCATGTTTTCCAAAAGTTGAAGTAAAGTTTCCAAAAACCTTATGATATTTTAGAACATTATTAGAAAAGTACTGACCTTCAGTAATTTCAGTTGGTAACCTGCTCCAGGAAATAATCTCATTGGCCCTTGATACCAATGATCCACCCTAATATACCAAAGCAAAAATGAGTTGTTTTTATTAATTGTTAAATCCTTGCCAAACTTACAGGTTCTAAGAGATAAAGTTTGTAGTTGACTGTGAATATATAACATTCATAAATGTGAACTGCAGGTTAAGAAATGAACATGAAAGAAATTTTGGCAGTGGTGAACATGAAATTAAGCAGAAGTGAAAATAAGGCTTGAATTTTTTATAACACCTTATTTCACTTCTGCTAAACTAATGTTCATTACTGCAAAGGTTGGTTTTGTATTCAAAGTTTGTAGTAGGGTTAAGTTATAATTCTTCTAATTGACCAAGTACCAACAGCTGTTTTTAGTGACAAGCCTAATTCATATGCTTCTAACCTGTGCCAGGAAACACCTTTGTGTGCAAAATGACCAGTGGCACTTTCAAAGAATTACAACGGATGCCAAATCATCAATAGTATTTTCCTCAGAAAATGGTTTAAAACATTATTCTCAGACTTCTAAAACTCTTAATCAAAAGTACAGTCAGAAAGCAACAAGTATAAGTTATGATATATCATGACATAGCAATAAAAATGACTTTTTGTAAGATAAAATATGAACCATTGAGTCAGCTGAGACAAAAAAATTCCTTAATGTGTTACCATTCCAGTCGTTAATGGGCACTCCCTCAGCAAGCCTACCTCAAACATGGATGATTTGGTCTCTGATGGACTTCTAGCCACATCCAAAGATGCTGCTGAGACTTGAGCCTTGTTCTCATCTTGACATTCAATGGCATCTGATACCTGACCAATACAACTGGTATTACTTACAGGGCATCCAACTGACTCCAACTGCATATTGGTCTCGATAACATCAGGGTATGGGGATCCTTGAGAGAAACAGGTAGTTGAAGAACACTTTGGGAATACACCTGTATTTAACAAATTAGAAAAAAGTATCAATATTTTTACATCTTCATAAACTGTTTATTTATCAACAAATTTATGAGTATCTTTTACCTCAAAATTGAAGAATTGCATTTATAATCCATCAATTTTTATATTTGAAGTGCACCAGAAAAACAGTTGGAAACCAGTGTTTCTTTCAGATGTTTCCAACAAGGGATGATGATTTTGAAGTTTTTCTCCATTTTTCTATTAATCTAAGAATAATCCAATGTCTTTCCTTCTGAAAAATTCCCTAATATGAGCTATTAACCAAAAGGAACTAATAATAAGTTTCCAACATCAGAAAACCTCACCTGGAGAACAGTACAAGATATTTGTTTGCTTTGGATAGGGCATTCAGGCCAACTTAGTGTGTTTCAGCCCATTGCAGAAATAATTGAAAAATTATATAAATCAGTTATATTCCACACAGCTGTGTACTTGTTTTCCAAAAGTGGAAGTAAAGTTTCAAAAAATCTTAAGATACTTCAGAACAAATAAGAAAAGTAATGACCTTTGTTTATTTCAGTTGGTAGATTGTTCCAGGAAACAATTTCATCAACATTTGACAACAATGATCCTTCCTAGTATACCAAAGAAAAAAAGAAGATTTTATTCACTGTTAATTCGTTTTCAAACTTACATTGATAAATTTTTTAGTTTGATTATTGAACAAATTTTCTCAGTGCACGTACCATGTGCCAAAAGCTGTACTAAGTACAAAAAAACCGATATGCTTCTAATATGCACCTGGAAAAATTATTTTGCTCAAAAAAACCAACAGCACATAAAAGCCAAGAAAATAAATAGCCATTAGCTGTGACATTCACAGAATTACAACAGATGTCAAATCATCGATAGAATTTCCTCAGAAATTGATTTCAAATATTATTCCACATACTTCTATAATTATGAATCAAAAGTATAGTCAGAAAACAACAAGTATAAGTTATGGTATATCATAGAATATCAATACAGAAGACTTTTCTAAGATAAAATCGAGACCATTAAGTCAACTGAGAAAAACAAAATCCCTTGGCGTGTTACCATTTCAGTGGTTGATGGGCCCTCCCTTAGCAAGTCTACCTCAAACATGGATGATTTGGTCTCTGATGGACTTCTAGCCATATCCAGAGATGTTTTTGAGGCTTGAGTCTTGTTCTCATCTGGACTTTCAATGGCATCTAGTACCTCACCAATGCAACTGGTATTACTTACAGGGCATCCAACTGGTTCCAACTGCACATTGGTCTCAATAACATCAGGGTATGGGGAGCTTTGAAATATACCCATAGTTGAAGAACACTTGGGGGATACACCTGTATTCAAAAGATCAGAAAATAGTGATAATATTTTTATATCTTAATAAATTGTTTTTTATGAAAAAAAAATTTATGAACTATCTTTTATCTCAAAATTGAGAAATTGCATTTATAATCCATCAATTTTATATTTGACGCACACCAGAAAAACCTTTCAAAATCAGTTTATCTTTCAAATGTTTCCAACAAGGGATGATAATTTTGGAGTTTGTCTCCATTTTTCTGTTAACCTATGAATAATCCAATGTATTTCCTTCTGAAACATTACCTAATATGTGCTATTAACCAAAAAGAACTGATAATAAGTTTCAAACACTGGAAAATATCACCTGGAGAACATAACAAGATATATCTTAGCTTTGGATAGGACATTTAAGCTAATTTAGAGTTTTTTGGCCTGTTGTGCACACATAGAAATACTTGACAAGTTATATAAATCAGCTATTCAACTTGACTGTGTACATGTTTTCCAAAAGTGGAAGTAAAGTTTCCAAACATCTAGAGATATTTAAGAACAAATAAAAAGTAATGACCTTTGTTTGTTTCAGTTGGTAGTTTGCTCCAGGAAACAATTTCATCAACATTTGACAACAATGATCCTTCCTAGTATACCAAAGAAAAAAAGAAGATTTTATTCACTGTTAATTCCTTTTCAAACTTACATTGATAAATTTTTTAGTTTGATTATTGAACAAATTTTCTCAGTGCACGTACCATGTGCCAAAAGCTGTACTAAGTACAAAAAAAACAAATATGCTTCTAATATGCACCTGGAAAAATTATTTTGCTCAAAAAAACCAACAGCACATAAAAGCCAAGAAAATAAATAGCCATTAGCTGTGACATTCACAGAATTACAACAGATGCCAAATCATCAATAGAATTTCCTCAGAAATTGATTTCAAATATTATTCCACATACTTCTATAATTATGAATCAAAAGTATAGTCAGAAAACAACAAGCATAAGTTATGGTATATCATAGAATATCAATACAGAAGACTTTTCTAAGATAAAATCTAGACCATTAAGTCAACTGAGAAAAACAAAATCCCTTGGCGTGTTACCATTTCAGTGGTTGATGGGCCCTCCCTTAGCAAGTCTACCTCAAACATGGATGATTTGGTCTCTGATGGACTTGTAGCCATATCCAGAGATGTTTTTGAGGCTTGAGTCTTGTTCTCATCTGGACTTTCAATGGCATCTAGTACCTCACCAATGCAACTGGTATTACTTACAGGGCATCCAACTGGTTCCAACTGCACATTGGTCTCAATAACATCAGGGTATGGGGATCCTTGAAATATACCCATAGTTGAAGAACACTTGGGGGATACACCTGTATTCAACAGATCAGAAAATAGTGATAATATTTTTATATCTTAATAAATTGTTTTTTATTAATATCACCTGGAGAACATAACAAGATCTATCTTAGCTTTGGATAGGACATTTAAGGTAATTTAGAGTTTTTGGCCTGTTGTGCACACATAGAAATACTTGACAAGTTATATAAATCAGCTATTCAACTTGACTGTGTACATGTTTTCCAAAAGTGGAGGTAAAGTTTCCAAACATCTAGAGATATTTAAGAACAAATAAAAAGTAATGACCTTTGTTTGTTTCAGTTGGTAGTTTGCTCCAGGAAACAATTTCATCAACCTTTGACACCAATGATTTTTCCTGGTATACCAAAGAAGAAAAGAAATTTTTATTCATTGCTAATTCCTTATCAAACTTAAACAGATAAAGTTTGTAGTTTGATTATTTAACAATTTTTAGTAAGACACCAAGTGCCAAAAGCTGTACTAGGGCCAATGGTACATAAAAGCCACAAAAATAAATAACCATTAGTTCTGGGATGTGACATTCACAGAATTACAACAGATGCTAAATCATCAATAGAATTTCCTAAGAAATTGGTTTTAAACATTATTCCACAGACTTCTACAATCATGAATCAAAGTGTTGTTAGAAAACAACAACTAAATATAAGGTTTGATTATCATAAAATATCAGTAAAAAAGACTCTTCTAAGATAAAATCTAAAACAGTAAGTCAACTGAGAAAAAGGAAACCCCTTGGTGTGTAACCATTCCAGTGCTTAATAGGCCCTCCCTCAACAACCCTACCTCAAACAAGGACAATTTGGTTTCTGATGGACTTCTAGCCACAGCCAAAGATTTTGCTGAGACTTGAGTCTTGTTCTCATCCAGACTTCCAATGGCATCTGGTACCTCACCAATGCAGCTGGTTTTACTTACAGGGAATCCAACTGGCTCCAACTGCATATTGGTCTCATTAACATCAAGGTCTTGGGATCCTTGAGGCATCCCCATAGTTGAAGAACACTTGGGGGATACACCTGTATTCAACAGATCAGAAAATAGTATTAACATTTTTTTTATTTTAATACATTGTTTTTCAATCAACAAATTCATGAGAGTATCTTGTATCTCAAAATTGGGGAATTGCATTTATAATTCATCAATTTTATATTTCAAGCACAACGAAAAAACCTTAAAAGATCAACTTATCTTTCAAATGTTTCCAACAAGGGATGATAATTTTGGAGTTTGTCTTCATTTTTCTGTTAAACTATGAATAATTCAATGTCTTTCCTTCTGAAACATAACCTAATATGCGCTATTAACCAAAAAGAACTGATGATAAGTTTCCAACATTGGAAAAAAATCACCTGGAGTACATTACAAACTATTTTTGGGCTTTGGATAGGGCATTAAATTTCACTAAGTGTGTGTGGGCCCATGCATTGTGCACACATAGAAATACTTGACAAATTATATAAATCAGCTATCAACACAACTGTGTACATGTTTTCCAAAAGTGGAAGTAAAGTTTCCAAACATATAAAGGTATGTAAGAACAAATAAGAAAAGTTATGACCTTTGTTTATTTCAGTTGGTAATTTGCTCCAGGAAACAATTTCATTAACCTTTGACATCAATGATCCTTCCTAGTGTGCCAAAGAAAAAGGAGTTTTATTCATTGTTAATTCCTTGTCAACCTTAAATAAGATAAGGTTTGTAGTTTGATTATTTAACAAGTTTCTCAATACACCAAGTGCCAAAAGCTGTATTAAGTAAAGGAACCTTTATATGCTTCTAATGTGTACCAGGAAAAATTATTTTTCTCAAAAAGGCCAATGGCACATATAAAAGCCACAATACTATATAGCCATTAGTTCTGTGGTGTGACATTAGTAGTGTTTTGGTAGGGAAATAATGGCTCTGAAGGTACAAACTCAACTTGGTTTTAATGGTGGAGGGGCAAAAGCGGTAAAAAGGTTAATCTTGACATGCACGAGGTGAATCATGTGATAAAGAAAGCATTACATCATAACAACATTCACAGAATTACAACAGATGCCAAATCATCAAATTTGATAGAAATCCCTCAGAAATTTGTTTTGAACATTATTCCACAGACTTCTACAATAATGAATCAAAAGTATAGTCAGAAAGCAACAAGTATAGGTCATGGTATATCATAAAATATCAATAGAAAAGACTCTCCTACTATAAAATCTAAACCACTAGGTCGACTGAGAAAAAGGAAATCCCTTGATGTGTTACCATTCCAGTGGCTAATGGGCCCTCCCTCAGCAAGCCTACCTCAAACATGGATGATTTGGTCGCTGATGGACTTCTAGCCACATCCAAAGATGGTACTGAGACTTGAGTCTCGTTCTCATCTGGACTTTCAGTGGTATCTGGTACCTGACCAATGCAACTGGTATTACTTACAGGACATCCAACTGGCTCCAACTGCATATTGGTCTCAATAACATCAGGGCATGGGGATCCTTGAAACATACCCATAGTTGAAGAGCACTTGGGGGATACACCTGTATCAGAGAGACGAAAAAAAATTGACAGTTGGAAATATGTGTTTGGTTCATTGATTTAGCATGGTACTCATGATACTTACCTGAGTTTATTCCATTTGGTAAATTCCTCAAGGAACTGACTTTAGCGGCCGCGCCAGATGGAAATGATTTACCCTAACAGTTCAAAGAATGATAACATTTACCAATTGTAAATGCAATGTCAGTAGCACTGTTTAGGCAGATGGTTGTCAAAGTCACAAAGTTATTTCCCCTTAATTACAGTAACTTTCACCTCTATTAGGTGATCACCTTTATTAAGAGGTAATGGTCACTCTTTACTGAGTCCCAGCTGCCTGTTTGTACCATCTTCCACCTGTATTGAATGGACTTTTAAAGCTGAATTACTCAAATAAAATTAAGAATAATCTTTCAAGTAATTTTTTATCCATATTTATCTCCTGAAATCAAAGTTAGTTGTATTTCTTCAGCAAGGTTTTTTACATTAAGAAGTCAATTGGGAGATAAAATGGCTTTTTTGTTTTTGGTTCATAACCCCTACTCTGTGGAACTTGTATTTAGCACTCAGCTTGTACTAACCAGTCACCCCACCATTCCCCATGTGTGACTGCTTAATACAGGTTCCATAGTACTTTAAACCCAAACAATCCCTCCAGTAAACAAAACCAACAAGCTCCCCTACCATCTGGAGGACTCCTTATAAGCTAAAGGGTTTAATTGTGACATTTACAGAATTTCCAAACATGGCAAATGATTAGTAACCAAATGTTGGTTCACACAATCAGTTACAATGAATTTCCAAAATAGATATCAAAAGTCTAGTGAGAGAACAAATAGCAAAGGTTTGGTCAAGTTAAGATCTATTATAATATATCTCAGAATAGATCTTTAGAAAACAGAAATAAAACCATCAAGTCAGTATTAGAGTTCAATGGGATTTCTGTTCCTCTTGTTGTTTTATATCAAAGGAGAACCAGATGCTTGAAGCCATAATTTGGATACATTCCCCCAACTTGCAGATACTCTCCGATTGATGTTTAAACCAGTTGGTGCTTTCAAAGGGATAACTGACCTCCCTGATCTGAATTATCTTGCTTCACCAACCTAGCTGATAAATTGACTGTACCCCGGGAGATCACTTTGTCTTACCGTTGCAGTGGTTGATGAATTCCTCATTCCAGGGGTACAATTGTTGAGCTTCTTGAGGAGCCTTTCTAATATAAGGCGCGCTGATGGACTGGACGAGCCCAGAGTTCCATCCAACGCACCAACAAGCAGAGCTCGGACTTGAGCTGTTATTGCAGAAGTGAAGGAAATGATATATCAAAGGTTTTTTAAACAGTGTTAAGTTTTGAAGCCTGATAAGAAGCAATTTCCACCTGAGAAAAACAAGGAGATATTTTGTCTACCTGTAGAGTCCATTCTGGTGGAAGTGTCCTCTGGCTCTTGGTCAGTACTAGAGTCCTGTTGACATAGAAAGAGATATCACACTACATATGAAATCCACTCTGCGTTCAAAGGGAAATGTAACTACTTCTGACTATCCACACACACAACCACACACATACACACAAAGAGACAAAATTAGACACGACAAAACAAAAAAAAAAGACTGAATCGCACGATAGCCTTCTAAACCGATCCAGACTGTTAGAAAAAGTCATTTTGTGATCAGTCAAACGACAAATCCATTGAATTTAGAACATTTCTCCCTTACACTGCACTACAAAATTCGAAGGAATCCAATGAGTGAACTCGGCATTAAATCCCCTTGTGTCCAGCTAGAAAAAGTGTTTCATTTAATTCTAGGTTTTTGGTGGAAGAAAGAAAAGATTTATACGTGCCATTCCAGCAAACAAACGATAGACTCTCACAACTTCAACACATACATTTTAATTTACGTACAATGACTCTCCTTGCCATTTTCAAACTTAACGGAGATAAATCATCATGGATTAAACGTCCAGGGAAGGGAATAATACTATCCGTAAGATCACAGGCTGTTTTTGAAGAATAGATCATCATGATAGTCACAACTCGAGTTTGCGAGTTTATTAAAAGCGTACATGCGCATTCCCCCCCCCACCGCGCTCTTTGATTGACAGATGTCAGATGTGACATATCCTTATTAAGAAAAGTTTCAAAGTTTCCTTGAAAGCCTTTTGTTTCAGTATCATTTAACTTTACGGCATAATTTAATTTAATTTCAGAAAGGGACGGCTGTGCAAGGGAGCAATTTTCAGTATTGCGTTTTGAATTTGTTTGCAAGCAGATCAGGCGTGTGTGCGAGATTATCTGTATGTGTGTATTTACATTTGGTTTACTTTAGACAGTTCTTTTACAACGCACTGCAAGAATTGCCTATTTCATCGGATAATTGCTATACGTGACGTAATAATTGATAATGAGATAATAGCTGTAATAAAGTATATGTAAAGTGTATAAAGTAATTTTTCAACAATACAATAATCTAATATGCAATGCAATATTTTTCGCGTCTTTTACATTATTCTAAGTCTAGCCATTTCAGCGGTTGCTTTCAGAAGAGGCACTTTCGACTTGTTTTTCAAAGATGCGCACGCTCAACAACAGAAGTGGCACTTTCGACTTGTTTTCTAAAGATGCGCACGCTAAACAACAGAAGCAATTGAGTCCTAAGAATTTAATGGAAAGTAAGATGGGAGATAAAGCTTTAACATACCTCAGTCTCCGGAAGATGGTCTGAAACAGCTATCTTCTTCTCTTCGTTCATCTTACTGAATTTCAATGCAAATTTCACGACTTCCGAGAGCAGCGCAAAACGCGTTTGACCTCGGCGAGTGGTTAACGCAAAATGAGCTAATTCTAATGACCTTCCATCATTAAAACGTCACAATAAGAAAACCAATAAGGGCCTCGTTAATGTGCCAATTGATCAAACCAATTATAAGCAATTAAATGTTACAGGCCAACGCAAAACTATAGCAACTACAGTTGAATCAAATTCCAAAATATGAAAAACCTCTCCAACAATTTTCAAAAACTTTGATTCCGTTATGCATATCAAACTCATGGGGTACAAATAGTCTTAACATGAATATAGCGACCACGCCCAGTTCAACGCCCCACTCAAATCGAGTGTAATTTTCGAATATTTTTCCATCGTGCGAATTCTCTACGGAAAAAGCACTCAATGTACCTCTGAAATTTTAAACTATAATATTTTGGCTTTCTATTTCGCTAATTTTCTAACTTGAAGGTAAAGTTTTTCCCCCGTCATTTTTACCTTTTCTCCGAGCGGTTGCGTGAAATTAACAAGGCGTTTTTGATCAAAACACAACCAAGCGAAGGGTCTCAAACGATATCTCTTTTACGCAGGCGCAAATTAAAAATGTACCGCCAGAATTAAAAAGAGTAACAAATTTCCTTTGTTTTGATATGTAAAGTGTCGAACAAAAAGCAGATTTACCCCCGTCATTTTTACCTTTTCTCCGAGCGGTTGCGTGAAATTAACAAGGCGTTTTTGATCAAAACACAACCAAGCGAAGGGTTTCAAACGATACCTCTTTTACGCAGGCGCAAATTAAAAATGTACCGCCAGAATCAAAAAGAGTAACAAATTTCCTTTGTTTTGATATGTAAAGTGTCGAACAAAAAGCAGATTTACCCTCGTCAAATGGCGTTTCAAACAGCTGTATCTTCCTCCTTTTGATTTTTTCCTGTTTTGTAAGCGTGAAAGCAGTAGGAGAGGGATCTGGAAAATCAGAGAGCGCTTCGGGAATTAATCTGCCATCGTTTACTTACGAGATAAACAAGTAAGATTTGTGAAGTTTGTCGCAGTATGAAGTCTAAATAAATGCCTTTTCTAAGCTTGTTGGCTGTATTTTTCGTAAACTTCCCCGATTAATTTTTCGTTTCAGCTTACTAATCTATACTATTTCAAAGCAATGTAAAGACGAAGACGGAGAAAACCATGAGTCGGTCCTTTCAACAATCGTAAACAAAGTGTTTGAGCAATCAGGTATACGAGGTGTAATAATCAATAGCCGCATTTCAGAAGTCTTCAGAAAGAAAATATTCAGCCTTCAGAAAGCTGTCAAGAAAGCTAGTAATCGTGGCGGAAGGCAATTAAATGCACTTCTTAGCAATTTGGAAGCGGGCCCTAGGTATCGATTTAAGGTGTATTACAACGAGGTTGATGTGCATTAGCTTAAAGATGAGAACAGCCAGTTAAGGGGAGAAAAAAGAAAATTAGAAGAATCGTTGGTACAGGAGAAGGCAAAGCGATTGCGAGTGGATGAAAAAGCCCGAGAAGCTCTCGAGAAAGCTGAGAAGAAAGGGGCCTTCTACCAGAAAAAATTTATTCAATTGGCCAAAAAAGTGATTAAAAATGGGAAAAAAGGTAGAGGCCCTGCTAAGAAGAAGTTTAATGACTATTCTAAGCACCATCAAAAGAGAATTAAAAACCAACTGAAGGACGAGTGCCAAACTACACTCTCTTTTCTTGGGCTGTACAATTTTGTTGCAACCAAAATTGAAGTCCTCAACACTGAGACTAATCAATATGAAACTTTCAATCTTGTTGGAGAGGGAGAGCTGCCATTTACAGAGTCTGACCCAAAGGCCCTTGATAATTATGACATTGATAACATAAATATGTGGCTCTACCTCAAAGATAAATTCAATATTTCAAATGAGGCCTGGCATGAAATTGCCATTAAGGCTAATGGTCTCCCCAATACATATTCCATCAAGAAGCGAATTAATGAGCTAAACAGTAAATGGAACTTGAAACCAACACCAGGAGATACTGAAGGTGTTCAGTTAGGATTTGCAGAAAGTTTGCAAGAGCACATTGTTAGGCTTCAGAAGAATGGAGAAATCAATGATGGAGAAACTATTAAGATCAAGCTTAGCGGTGATGGTACAAATATTGGAAAGCGGCTTACAGTTGTCAACTTCACATTTACTATTCTCAATGAAAAGGATGTGGCAATGGCTGAGAAGGGAAATTATGTACTTGCTGTTATAAAAACTACAGAGACATATCATAATCTGAGAGACAGCCTAGCAGACCTTCAAATGGAAATGTCAAACTTAAAGGAGATAAGTGCAAATAATTGCACCTATAAAATTGAATACTTTTTAGGTGGAGATTTGAAATTTTTAGCACTGGTATGTGGTTTAGGCAGGGCAAATGAGGATTATGCTTGTGTGTGGTGCAAGTGTCCCAGGGAGCAATGGTGGGACACAAGCAAAACATGGTCAATTAATGACCCCAAATTTGGTGCTAGAACTGTCACCAAAATAACAAGGTTTTCCACTGGAAGGAAATTAAACTGTAAGGCACAACCATTATTTGATTTTATACCTATGGACCTTGTCATCATAGATATATTACATTTTTTTCTGAGGATTTCAGATGTTTTGATTAACTTGTTTACAAGAAAAAAAACCTCTGATAGATTCCCAAGAGATAAATATAAACACATGGCATGTTATGAAGAATTTATCAAAAGTATGGGAATCACTTTAAATTTTAGAATCAACAAAGAGAGCAAAAAGCTGGAATATAGAGATCTTACTGAGCCAGAAAAGTTGAAACTCTTTCAGAATATAAAAATTCTGACCTATGCTTGTCAAAACAAAGACATACAAGTGATCTGGGCTAAATTTATGGACATAATTGGTGATTTGAGGCTAGATTTTACATCTGAAGAGTGTATTCTTGAACTGCAAAGAAATAGCAAATCATGGTTTGAGCACTTTCTCAAAGTTTACTAAGCAAAAGATGTCACTCCCTACATGCATGCACTATGTTATCATGTTCCTGAGTTCCTGTCACTTTATCAGAACATAGCATATTACACACAGCAAGGCTTGGAAAAATACAATAATAGAGCTTCTAAAGATTTCTTCAGATCCACAATTCACAAAGGGGTTGATGCCCTCAAACAACTGTTTCTGAAGAAAAACAGGATTCAGTTCCTGGAGGCAGCAGGTTATGAAAGGGTTTAAGAACACCTACAACGATGAGCTTGTATTCAATGATTGGACTTCTTTGTCCCAGCCGATACTAAATAGTTCCTGGAATTACATAGGCAAAATCTTCAGCTACATTTAAAATTCTTTCATCCCACTTCAGCCCCAGATATGAATCAAGCACCCTATTTGACTCCGATTGGTAAACCATCTTCCCTCGTTGAAGAACGCCGGGCAAAACACTCCCAACACCTTCCATGAAAACATCTTGGTCAACATTAAGGTCTATGTTTATATCAGGGTCCTCTCGCCGTCCAGACCAAAGCTTTTTCTTTATTTCACGAGCAAGTTGGCCATACAACGATTCTTTTCTATCCTCTAGAGAGTTTTCCGAGGGAATGAACAGCTTTTCGCTGCGAACAAACGGAAAATATCCAGATCCTCTATCGGCCCTCAAGGGTGTCCATTCATCGAAGCATATGCTATAGCCAACGTCATGAATTTTCAACCTCTCTTGTTGATTTTGTCAACCTCCCTGATCTCAATATCATACAGTTTTGTATCTTTCTATTGTGGATTCGCCTTTCTAACGGGGGTTTATGTCAAGTATTTGTTGAAAAATCGCTTTGCTTTTTTTATTTCCCTCTTTAGCCTGTCCGCCATTTTGAAAATTCGCAACAAAGAGCAGGTCAGCATTAGATTCCATCCACCAAAACCACCTTGGTCGAGAGGGACTGAGATGGAATGATGGACAACTCATGACTTGTTATACTAAATTAAAATTACGAAGCTACGACAACATGCCGACTTATCCCGATGACCTAAGTGTATTATTTGTTTGGGAAATTGCGTCAAAACTTTTTACTCAAGAAATGGTAAGTATTAATTTATTGTTCGATTGTAGTATCATAAAACATTTTACGCAATTTTATGCAGATATTTTACGTATTTAAAAGGTGCCCAGATGTTACGTAGTTTTGGTGGATGTCATTAGGGAACATCCACCAAAACTTTGACCAAAACCATCAACAATATATTTTTTTAATTTTATCTATAGCCACTGTTAGATGTTCAGGGAGACAAAAGATTTATACCACTAATTAGCAGTTAGTGCTCTGGCTAATTATTTTTTATGGTGCACAATTGCTGACCGACCAAACGTTCATAATGATTATCATAACTCTTAACACATAGAATAAAGTGGTTTTGGTGGATGTTTCTTTCCATCCACCAAAACCACCATAGCAATTTCTGCTACTTCCTTACAGAAGACTGGTGTGACCTGCTATTTGGAGTACATAACCACAATCTATTTCTTTGTATGTAGAGATATTTTGCAAAGTTCTTGAGTCAGCACCTTTTATTATTGAAACCATAATCATAACATGGTGCACAATATAGAATACAAAAGGTTCTGGTGTGGCAATCATGTAATCTTGAAACAGGAGAGTTTATAACTGACTTAAACTGACTTAAACAGACATTTGCAACAAAATTCCAGGTCCAGAAATTTCTTCCACTATTTCCGCTAAAATCATAACCTTTAAGTACAACAAATCAGCACATCAGTAATTGTTATCAGGGGTCTGATAATCCTATCAATCTTTCACATTTATTTAAAGTAACCTTTAATTTTGCATGGATGAATAAGTATACACTCAAGATGCAGAATGTCTTACATTTTACAAACTATTTCCCTTTTTATGGATAGACAGTGAAAGGCCTTTGCCACATTGGTGAATCAAACCATTGTATACCATGCATTTTGTGATAATTGTTTGTTTTTGCTCA